AAAAAAAAACATGCCTTTTATGGTGTTACTGTGCCGTGTGTTGTTTTTATTGGCTTTACTTATGAGCTTTGCTACTGTGTTTACTATGGCACAAGAGGTGGGATCTCGTTTGGAGGTACAGGAATCTACTTTACTCAAGGGTGAAGAGTCTCCTTGTGTTGGTGATTCTGTTGGTTCTTCCGGTACTACTTGTTCTTCTGTTCGTACTGCTCCTCCTCCTCCTGGTCTTGCTAAAGCACAAGCAGAACCTCTTGTTAAAGGAGAACCACCTGGTGGTGTTGTTCCTGATCCACAACGTGATCTCAGTGAAGGAGATAAACAACTTGGTGGTATAGGTCCTAGTGTTGGTGTTACTCCGGCTTTGGCTGGTCCTCCTGGTTCTCATGGTCCTTCTACCGTTTCTCTTCCAGAACCTCAAGGTGGTGGAGGGAATAACGGTCTAGGTGTTCACGGCCAACCATCCACTGTAGATCAGAATGCTCTTAGCAGAGATAGTCAAACACTGAAAGATTCTTCTGGGGATCTTTTACATAAAGAGAAAGAAACAAGTAAAGAAGAAGAGATATCTAACCAGGATCCAGAGAGAAAAGAAGAGCCTCATAAATCCGCAGAAAATCAACCTGGTCATCACGACCCTGTAGAAACTCCAAAAGAACAAGATAGTAAACATTCTCTTCCACCTGCACAAGCTCCTGCTCTTCCTGGTCCTCCTTCTTCTCCTACGGCTGAGGAGCGTGTTGATGTACCTTCAGCTGAAGGTGAACGTGGCGATATCGGCAACATTGCAGGAGTTGAAAGTGAAACAGCAACACAACCTTCTGCTGACTCTCCCAACACTTCAGCCACAGGGAGTTCCGGTGTTTCTGACGCTGCAGCGAATGAGAATAATACTTCATCTGCAGAGAGTGAATCAACAAACAACCAAGCAGATAATACAGATACCACCACCACCACCACCACCACAACAACAACAACAACCACACTTCCTCCTGAACTCACAAACAACAACAAGAAGGGTGATGCAGACAGCAGCAGCAGCAGTATGAGTTCTGTGTGGGTACGTGTACCACTACTGATTGTGGTTACACTGTCCTGTATTCTTGTGTGCTGATTGTAGTGGTGGTGTGGTGGTGTGACTCAGGTCATCCTTTGTTTTCTTTTTTTGCATACATCCCTACAGTCTAACTAATCTTTCACCTGTTGGGATTTTCTTCTTTTTTTTGTTTCTTAATGTGTTTTGTGTGTTTTGTGTGTGTTTTTGCTCTCTTGTGTTTATCCTATAATAATTATTATTGCTACTCCATTGTGTGTGTGTGTGTTCTTGGAGACTCTCTCTGTGGGTGTGTGCACCTGGGTTTGCACTGTGATGATAATGAATTGCTTTTTGCAGTGTGAAGCGAAATGATAATAACAGATGAATTTATATTTATAATTACATATATGTACACATATAGACTTACACCCATAGTTGGTGTGTATTTCTGCGTTAACTGGTTAAGTTGGGCTACTTGTTATTGTTTTTTTTGCCTTTGAATTTCTAGCTCTTTTATGTCCTTTGCTCTGCACCGTGGTGTGTTGGATTGCCTTGTGCGGAGAGAAAATAATAAGTAATACACATATACATTTGTAATTGTGCTTGGTTTGACCAGAAGAGACACACTGTTATGTATTTCTGTGCTTATTGCTCTTGTTGGTCGCTTTCATAAATTTTATTTTTCTTTTTGTGGGGTTCATTGGGATTATCTGTTTGTTATTGGGTGTTGTGTGCGTTTTTATTTTAATTTGGGTATTCTATGAGTTATGATTGCAGTTTTCTGCAATATGTGTGCTTCTGCTGTCTCATGTTTTTCTTTGTTGTTTGATTTTGTTTTATTCTAATTTTCTGTTTTTTTCCATTGATTTTATTTGTTTCTGTTTTTCTCACTGTACTCTTTCTTCTTTATTGTACATTCCATTGAAGTAGGACAAGTTCAACGATATCCACATTACCTGCAACCATTGGAATAATAATAATAATGATGCGCTACGTGCTGTGTATCCTCGCTATCCTGCTCTCATGTGCGTGTGTGCACGTCCTCGCTGAAGAAGTGCCTGCCGCCGATCTTTCCGACCAAGTCCCTGATACGGAGAGTGAGACAAAGATTCTTCTTCAAGGTACTCCTCCTGGTACGAATTGCACTAATGGTACTAAACTTGCTGAAGATACTCAGCAATGTCCGGAAGAGCGCGAAGCTCCTCCTGTTACAGTACCTGTTGAAACTACTCAGTGCCCTAATGGTACTCCTGAAGGTGCTGAACTTTCTGGTACTTCTGGTAATTGTAATCCTTCTCGTGGACAAGAACCACCAGCAGCACAACAACCACAACAACAGCAACAGCTGCAACAACAACAAGATGATAATAGTGTGAGCGCAGGTGGTGACAGTGTACCAGCAGGAAGTGAAGGCCCAGGGAATACGTCATCCACAGCAGGTAATGTAGACTCAGAGAGACCACAACAAAACACAACAGAAGGAGAGGCAGCAGCACCAACTACGGACACAACCTCGTCTGGAAACGTTAATTCCAACAACACCAACCCACAAACTCAGCCGGAAAGTACCAATGAAGGTGTTGACAGTAATCCCAGTAATCAGACTACTGCAGCTGCAGATACGACTGGCACAGAAGGTTCACAGGAGAATGACAATGCTGAGAAATCAACCACCACCACTACCACAACAACAACATCAACACTTCCTCCTGAACTCACAAACAACAAGAAGGGTGATGCAGACAGCAGCAGCAGTATCAGCAGTTCTGTGTGGGTGCGTGTACCACTACTGATTGTGGTTACACTGGCCTGTATTCTTGTGTGCTGAATATTGTAATGGTGGTGATGTGGTGTGACTCAGGTCATCCTTTGTTTTCTTTTCTTTTTTTGCATACATCCACACTACAGTCTAACTAATCTTTCATCTGTTAGGTTTTTCTTCTTTTTTTTGTTTCTTAATGTTAATGTGTTTTGTGTGTGTTTTTGCTCTCTTGTGTTTATCCTATAATTATTATTGCTACTCCATTGTGTGTGTGTGTGTTCTTGGAGACTCTCTCTCTGTGTGTGTGTCTGGGCTTGCACTGTGATAATGATGATGAACTGCTTTTTTTGAAGTGGAAAACAGGAAATAATATTAACAGATGAATTTATATTTATAATTGCGTATATACATATATAGACTTACACCCATAGTTGGTGTGTATTTCTGTGTTTACTTTGTAAATTGGGCTAATGATTAATATCTCTATGTTTGTTTGCTTATGGTTTGCTGGTTCGATGTGTGCTTTTGCCCCGCAGTGTGTTTGTGATTGCTTTTTTGTAGAAGAGATAAAAATAATAGGAAATATAATTGGTATTCTTACGTGCGTGGACACAGCAGCATACATAGAGAGTTGTGCTATTTTTTGTGCGGTTGGTGCTTCTTTTTTTTTGTTTTTTCAAACTTTTTTCTTTGCTTGGGCGCTGTGTGTTTTTTCCCGCATTGTTGTGTGTTGGAGTGTTTTGTGCGGTGAGAAAAAATGTTAAAGAATACATAAGTATATATTTGTAATTGTGCTTGATCCTACAGGAAGTGGCATTTTGATGTATTTCTGTGCTGTCTACTTCTGATGGTCGTTCTCTTAATTTCTTTTTTTTTCATTTTTTGAGGGGTTAATTGTGCTTATCTGTTTGTTAATGGGTATTGTGTGCTTCTTTCTTTCATTTGGATACTATCTGAGAGATGGTTGCAGCTTTCTGTTATGCTTAGTTTGCTTTTACCATTTTCTTTTTGTTCTCTTTATGTACTTTTCTTTATTTATGTTTTTGTTGCCTCTCTCTGTTTTTTTTGTTGTTCAGATCACTAAATTGAGATAGTAACACCAACGAAGAAAGTAATGATGTCACTACGTCATGTCTTCTGTCTTCTCACTATCGCACTGTGTTGTGTCTGCAGCTGTGTGGTAGCTGATGATGAAGCTGAAGCTCTTAAGGCTGAGGAAATTCCTCCTGTGGATCCTCCTCCTCTTGGTGTTGTGCCTCCTGCATCTTCTCCCTGTCTACATAATTCAGTAGCCGGGCCCTCTGAACCTCAGTGTTCTAATGATAGTTTGGTCGTGGGTCATCGTAATCATGAGGAGGAAGATTCACTTAAGGATCATTTGGTTGAGGTAGAAGAAGAAACAGCCAGTACAGGTTTGGGAGGAGGATTAAAAGCTGGACAAGCAGTTCAGCATTCTGGTCCGGCAAAAAGTGTACCTGCGAAAGTTGTTCCCGAGAAGAAAACTGACCTTGATGTGAGTCTTTCACATGTCAATTTGGAAAATCATCAGCAAGGGGAAAAGGAGACTAAAAACTCTAAGAACACACTTGCTCGTGAAGAAGCGGCTGAGAATGAACGTCAGAATGGAAACAATCGTGATAATGAAGCAGAAGCATCTATCGCTCAAACTACTTCAGTTTCACTACAAGGAGGGAGAGGTATAAATGATAATGGCTCCCACATTGTTTCTGTCGATAATGGTCGTGATCAAGGTGGTGGGGATAAAACAAAAGTAGAGAAGACAACAGAAGAGAAAGCGAATGCTCCAGGAAGTGAACAAGCAGAAGAGAAGAGGAAAAGTGAAAAAGAAGCACAATCTGATTCTCCTACTTTATCCAGTACAGTTAATACTGACACTCACGAAAACCGTTCTCAGCAGGAACAGATACCCTCTCCAGAGGAATCTCAATCACACAGCGATACAACGGAGAACCATAACACAACTACTACGAACTCTGAAACTTCAACTACACCCAGTAATGAGGAATCACCCTCAACCACCACCACCACCACAACAACAACACTTCCTCCTGAACTCACAAACAACAAGAAGGGTGATGCAGACAGCAGCAGCAGTATCAGCAGTTCTGTGTGGGTGCGTGTACCACTACTGATTGTGGTTACACTGGCCTGTGTTCTTCTGTGCTGATTGTAATGGTGGTGATTGTGTGACTCAGGTCATCCTTTGTTTTCTTTTTTTGCATGCATCCACACTACAGTCTAACTAATCTTCCACCTGTTGGGATTTCTCTTCTTTTTTTGTTTCTTAATGTTAATGTGTTTTGTGTGTGTGTTTGCTCTCTGTGTGTTTATCCTATAATTATTATTGCTACTCCATTGTGTGTGTGTGTGTTTTTGGAGACTCTCTCTGTGTGTGTGCACCTGGGCTTGCACTGTAATGATAATGATGAACTGCTTTGTGCAGTGGGAAAAAAGGAAATAATACTAACAGATGAATTTATATTTATAATTGCTTATATACACATATATAGACTTACACCCATAGTTGGTGTATAGTTCTGTGTTTACTGGGTATATTGGCTAATTGTGAAGGATTCTTTATTTGCTTTTGTTTTGTGGGTTATTGTGTGAGTGCCGTGCGTGGTTATGGTGTTGTGGTTTAAGGGGTAAAACAAATAATAACTGATGCACATTTATATTTATAATTGCTTATTAGTTTATGTATACCGAGAGTTCTGGGGTGATTTTCTGTTTGAAGGTGTTTTGGTTCTTCTCTTAATTTTTATGTTTTTGTTTTGATTTTGCATTGTACGTTGCGTCCCTTTATTTGATTTTTATTGTTTGTGTTGGTGCTGTTGTTGTTGTTCTTTGAGTTTTATATCTTTTTATTCTCTTTCACTTTTTTTTTGCATACCTTTGTTTCTCTATTCTATCAGTGTTGTTTTTGCCTTTTCATTTTGTTCTTTCTGGTATTGGTCAGAGCAGAACAAGAAGGAAAAACTATTATGCTGATGATGCAACGTTGTGTATTTTGTTTTATGGCTTTGGTTCTGAGCACTGCCTGTGCATGTGTGGCAGCGAATGTTGCTGGTGCTGGGGGTGGTCCTCCACCACCACCTCCTCCTGGCGATAATTGTAAACCTGAACCTGATAGCAAACAGTGTCGTACTGGCGGTACTGAAGCTGAAACTTCCTCTGGTGATTGTGAGAACTCTTCTCCGCCTGAACGTTGCACTAAAAAGGATGGTCATATTGACGTCAATTGCCCTAAAGATTCTGAACCTCCGTGTCCACAACTACAACCGAAGGAACCAGCTCCAACTTCACCAAAGGAACCAGCACCAAAGGAACCAGCA